CCTGGTTTCTAATGACTGCTTTAAAGTACGTAACTCAAAAATGAACCAAGGAACCAGTTTCCTTTGATTGATTGCTTTCTTTTTCAGCAGAGTAATTTTATTAAGTGAAATTTGTATTGAAGTTGTAAAATTATCAACTACATCATCTAAGTCGCTGTTCTTTGATGCATTGCTCTGCAAGACAGAAGAAAACACTGATGGAAGAGATTGTTTCAATTTAGTTACAGTGTTTTCTAAGCTCCTGCTAAGAAGAAATTTACTTTGTGGCTGTATAGTCATTTAATGTAAACTCAAAGGTTATTAAAAATGATCAGACAGAACAGGATTTTGTAAATGTATTACTAAGTTAATAATCTCAATGCCATAAGTCAGCATAGATTTCACGCTTCAGTTCATTACCAAATGAGAGTAATGAACTGAGATATGAACATAGTGAAAATTTGGCAAGTTTCCTTAATCATGTCGTGTGTTTTCTCTGTTTTCCTCTTACAGTTTAGAGTTATTCCAAACTAAACTGAGGTATGTATAAGTATGTGTTATCATCAATGTATGTTCCCATAGAATGACAAAATTGGTTCTCTGCATTTAGCCCATAGCACCTGGGATGCACCCAAGTGAGACGGTGGGCGGCTATTGGGCACCCAGGGAGCAAATGGGAATTGGGTGAAAATGCTCAGAGACACCACAACATGTGGGCATAGCTGGGAGTCAGGCCGCGACTTTCTGGTCCCAGGTCGGCCGCCCTGCCTCTACACCATTTCAGCCCCCTATGAGTATGAGTGTGTATGTTGGCACTGTGATGGGCTGGTGATTTGTCTAAAATGTCACAGTGTGAGGTTTCCCCGGTTATTTTTCTCCCTTGATGTTTTTTTGTTTTTTCAGTTTATTTTTCCTGCCTGTTGTTTTCTGTGTGATCTCCTTTCCCTGCGTTTTGGCTCCGTCTTCCCAGGTGTTCCCCATTCCCCTCATTAGTTGTGTCTGTTTGTATGTGGGTTCTGTCTTTCACTCTTTGTTGGTGCATCGTCATGAGTTTGAGACTGGTTTGCTTAAGTTGGGTTCCTCCGTCCTCCTTGTGTCCTTTAATCCTTATGAGTAGTTTTGCCAGACAAGAAGTAAGTCCTGTAAATTTTATTTTATAAACATTTTTGTGTCCGCACTTTATTGCTGCTTTTAAGTGCTTTATAAATAAAGTGGTATGGTATGATTATTGCACTTCCTGAGTGCGAGTCTGCGTTTGAGTCGCCACCTGAACCAGAAACTTTACATAAAATGCATCATCTCTCATTCCTTAACTGCTAAAAATCAACATCCACCCATGACTTCACACAATTTTAAAATGTTTTTCCCCGATAAATGTTTAATTTGAAAACTTTATTATAGTAACCACTGAGCTGTATGAGCAAATAAAGTACAAATCGAACGACAACATCACGACGGATGAAGTTTGTAATTGATGCATTTTATTGTGAGATGGGGAGACATAAATATGAAATTAAAAAATCTAAACATTTACTTTAAAAATGATGAGGGTGTTATAAAGGGTTTGTAAAACTGGGCGTGGTGGTGACACTGACATAAAGTAATAAATTGGCACACAAAAGAACATGTATCAATAATATTATTTTGGCTTGGACAGTCTGTGGTTAAGGATCATCCTTCAATACAACAGCATACACTCATGCTATTAGACATATCAATAGATTTCAGAAAGTCAGTAGCTTCATATCAGAAAGAAGATAGAAAACTAACATGAGAATAGATGCAGAGAGAGGTCACGAGTTCCAAATTTTCTGTCTTTCAAGGTGAAAGTTTTTTTGTTTTTTTTTGTATAACTGCAAAACAAACCAAAACACATTTGTTCATAAAACTTCATAATGCCGGCATCTTATTTTTTCCAAGCTTGTAGTTATTCAAACATTTCAGCCTTTTTCCATACTAAAATATATTATTGTATTAATACAAGATACAGTATTGTACACTACATAGTGAAATAAATAAGCGTAAACAAATATTAAAAAACGAGACACATAAATATGAAAGTTCTCTATAATTAAACAAACATCCCCCATCTTGTTGAGGGTGGAAATAATACTGCCACTGATGAAAACATACAGTACACAAACTTATAACACAAACCAACATAATACTGACAGGTTGTTAATGAAGCTCCTGGGATTCATATTTGCTCATACTTTGTTACCTGAAGAGACATTTGAGCATTTTATGGCGTCTTGAACAAGTGCTCTGAACAAGCATCAAGAAGGCAGGACACAACAAATCCAGTCTTTATTATTATTATTATTGATAATATTATTATCATTATTTATTCCTCAAGAAATGTGCATCATATTGATTAGTTGATCAGATTAGAAAACAGCAACTTGTATGTAAAATCTAAAGGACATGAATTTAAAGTGAGCTAAAGTCTACTGTCACAGGGAAGAAGACGGGCCTGAGATATTAGTTGATCAGAGACCCAGCAATACCTGATTATAGCTGTGAGACAGCGGTGTTCAATGGCACTTCTGATATGCATGCTTTTTTTATTTTAAACATTTAGTTTTTGCATAAGGCTCAGAGTTTGGGAGGGGATTAGGGTAAGAATAGGAAGGATTTTCCCCTTACTGCTCTCAGCATTTAAAGCATTAGACCAAGGCAATTCAACTAAATTGCTCAGGGGCCAGACATCCAGCTGTTATTGTTATTAAGTAAGTTTGTTTCATGGTTTAAAATCTAGTTTTATTTAAAAATGAACCCAATGGTGGGCCGAACTGAGTTCACCCGTAGGCCTGACTTGGCCCCTGGGCCACCTGTTGAATAGCCTGCATTATATCGACATTTTGGCTTTTTAAAACCCTAGCTGTCTCAAAGAGGTTAGCAGTTTGAAACAGCTAGCCTGACTTAGCATAAATGTAGCCCACCTTTTAGCATATTCTAGCTTCAGCAACTGACTTGTGTGGGTAATTTGCACACGTGTTTGAAAACGAAAAATGTCTAAAATGTTGCGTGCCAAACTGTCTGTGTTCAGATTATATAAACAATCTATGAAATCTCATTAGTGGTCTTCAGTTATGCAGGTGGCTTTAGGTTTGTTCAGGTATCAAAAGTTTACAGTGCTTTAAAAATATATCCATACCCCATGAAACTTTTCCACATTTTGTCAAGATGCATCACAAACAAGCTTTTTCCTGGGCTTTAATTTGAACGTTCAACCTATTGTAGTGCATAATTGTCAAGTAGAAGAATGGCTTAGATAAATTTTTACAAGCATTTGTTTGTATTACCGTATTTTACACCGTACACGTCACACCACCCTATAAATCGCATCAGTCCAAATATGTCTAATAAAGTGGAAAAATCCATAAATATGTTGCTTTGTCGTATATGTCGCATCAATTACGCGTCACCGCTGACAACACGGAAATGTGGGCCGGTGTTGTGCCAAAAATCGATTGGCTGCCAAATGGTGGCCGCGGGAACGTGCATGGGAGGACTTTAACAGGAATTGAACAAGATTAACACAAAAACAATTATTTGTTTGCTCTAAATTATATTAAAGGTGTCTCAGTCCAACTTTTCCTTAATAAATGCATTTTGATGGTCAAATCAGCTGCATTTCTCCGGGGCAGCGCAGCGAAATGAAGCTGATTTGACAGTTGCTTCAAGCAAGCTTGACGAAGGTGGCAGGCTATGGCAAGCCAATTATGTCATTAATAGACACTTTTTACCTATTACATGACACAATGGCATGCCATACTACTTGATTGCCATCTAGCGGCTGAAAATGGTAGTGTTCAATATTTTCAGTCAGAATGAACAAAAACAGTCATATCTCAGTCAAAAATTGGTTTATAAATATGGAAAAAATCACTTCAGCATATAAGTCACAGGGTATAAAAATTATGCAAAAAACCCCACAACTTATGGGGCAAAAAATACGCTCTTATTATCTAAAAAAAAAAGTTAAATCTGGTCCTCTGGACATAAAAAAAAAAAAATTGTAGAAACGTTTCGTCTTTCATCCGAAATGCATCAGGATACGCTCTTATTAGTTCACAACTAATATTTGTACTCTAGTTGAACTGTCCAACAGAAACTGTGGATCTCTGCACCTTCTAATGTTATGATGGGCTTTTTGGCTTCTTCTCAGATTAATACTCTCTTTACTCAACATTTCAGTTTACATGGTGGACGGCTTTGTCCCGGTAGATTTTGAAGTTGTCCATAACACTTCCCTTTTCAGATAGGGAATTGAACAGTGCACTGCATTTAAAGTTTAGGATGTTGTTTCATAACCTAACCCTGCTTTAAACTTCCCAACAGTTGAATCTCGGATGTGTCTGTTCGGTGATCTTCTTGATGTTTGACCACCAGTGTTCTGTAACAAACCTCTGAGGCCTCCACACCCAGAAACAGCTGCTTTTAGAATGACACATTTTACTTATTAGATGACTTGTGAAACTAGTACTGAACTTTAGCAAGTAGTATCGGAGTAAAAAAAGCTGAATATACGTCACACTTTCAGGTTTGTATTAGTAAAAAGATTTTGACAGCGATGAAAACTTCCTTACTTCACAATTATGCACGATGTTGTGTTGAACCATCCTATAAAACCTGTGTTTGTAGTCGTAATGTGACAAAATAAAGTTTGAGGATGACTATGTCTTCGAGCTAAAGTTTATCAGACACTGAACTTGATTTTGATCTTTTCTGTCAAGTCTCTCACCAAGAAAACTTAATTAGTTGCATTGTTTGAATGATTCCTATTTAACACTGACTGGTTAAAAAATCATGTTTTTCTTCATAAGGCTCCTAGTCCTATTAAAACAACAACAACTATAATGCTAACACGTGCGAGTGTGATGGCATGGTACAACTAGCACAATAATAATACTGAAGGGTAAAACATACTCTGCTGGACCTGTAGGTAAACCAAGCCTCTTGTAGTGCACACATTTATCTTCATCTATTTCCAACTTAACAAAATATTGACTTCTTTTGTTCATTGGCAATAAAAAGCTATAGAAATATTTCCCAACTGTACAGTTCTTAAAGGTTAAAATATGAGTAATAAAATTAGTAACACTGATACAAAGAAAAGACCCAAGGTGTTTTAGTAATCAAACATTATCTAAAACGTGTCGGCTCCAGCTCCCACCGTCTGCATAACGCACGTCTTTAGTTAAAATTCATTGCAATCTTTATCTTTTGCTTTACAAACGGACTTTTTTAGTAGTAGGAATATTTCTCCTGTAGAAAAGCCACATGTATTTTTTTTTTTTCAGGCACACCTGGATTTTTACACAGTAGTGAAGAGTCTGAGCGAACAGCTCGTCCTGCATGCAGGGAGAAGAGGAGGCTGATTGTGTCTCGTGTGGGGAGCTCAGACGTCTCCTTTCTCCTCTGGTGTCTTCTTGCCATCTTTAACAGGAGCGCTCCTGTTTCCTGTTTCATCTTCGCTCTTCTCTTTGACGTTTCCTGTTCTCTCCGTCGTATCTCCTTCCACGTTCATCGCCTCCTCTTCCTTCATAATGGCTTCCTCCTCTTCCTGTCTCGTGTTAGACTCTTCCTGTCCTTCTCTGTCCTCCAATTCTCTTTCCATCACCTCCTGCTCCTCTGCCTCTTCGTCTCCTCCTTCATCTCCGATCTGCACCACTTGGATATCGTCCATGTCCACCACACCCTCCTCTTCCTCCTCCTCCTCTTCTTCTTCGCTTTCCTCATCCTCTCTAGTGCTGCTCCCTCGCTCGTCTGAGTCCAGCAAGGAGGGGGTTGTGTGGTGCCTCTGCGCCTCGACTGGGGCCTCGCCGTCCTCCTCAGGGCTCTCCCCGCCTCCCGCTTGACTCTGCGTCTCCTTTTTGCAGTAGGAGTAGCGATGGTTCATGTGCTGGGAGTAGGATCCCGAGTGGGAGAAGCGTTTCCCACACTTGTCACACTGGTACGGTTTCTCCCCCGAGTGGAGCCGCATGTGTTCAATCAGGTGGTGTTTGTGTTTGAAAGCCTTGCTGCAGATGCCACATTCATGAGGTCGTTTTCCTGCAACGAGACAAAATGTGCTAAATGTACTTCAGGAAAAAAAGCTTTTGTTTCTAACATGTGGAAAACAATTGTTTGCAATTACAGCAAATCCCCCACTTTGTTGCATAAAATGTTTCCAAAGCCTGAAAACAAGTAACGCTATCTATCATCAGTGGAACCGAGGAGAACATTTCAACACAAGCAGCCGGTTTCACCTAAGATGAGGTCATTTGGAGCTAAAAGCTGTGCTTTCAAGCCAGGTATCAACGTTATAAAGTAAAAGAAAACGCCTTTGAGAGTGTTGACCTGCGCTTGGCCACAGCTCATATCCTCAGAGCGGTCTAAATAACAAGCAGAGATGGCCTGTTGCAACATTCTGCACTTTACATGAGAAGCTGGCAGTGCAGAGGTGGGGAGTTGATGGAAATAAATTCTCAGACCTCTTCTGTGCATGTTGAGTAATACCTGCTGGAATGGACGTGTCCGCCCTTCTTTACACTGGAGCGCAAAATCCCCTTCGCCTGCTCTCTGACTCATCTTTCCGAGTACAGCACTCAGTGAAGCTGAGAAACGTTCCTGCTCTGATGTTTGTTTCTTTCTTAATAATCCCCATGTGCTCTTGTTTGTGTTCGTGTGCTACCACGGACTACGAATGGAGAGCTGTTTTACCTGTGTGTTCATATTTGTGTCTCAGAAGTGAGCTGCTCTTCTGGAAGATCTTGTCACACAAGTCGCAGGCGTACATGCCGCTGTCTGTCTTCTTCATCTTCTTCCTGGCGGGGCCAGAGTCAGAGTCATTCTGCTCGTCCACGAAGCCCGTGTCCTGTCTCTCCTCCTGAAAAACCAGTGAGGCACCAGTTACATGTGCTATTTCTTAATCTTTTTTTTTTTTTTTGGTCTCACAAATAAAACCGTTAATGATTCAGAATAGCTATTAGTAATGGATCAATGAGTTCCAAGAAGTTGTACTGAATCAGCCCCTGCTCACCTCTCTGTAACAACCACACCAAACACTTCCTCTACAGGAAGTCTACTCTGTACATCAGGCACATCTACAGCTGTCCTACTAAACATAATCCTCTGCTTCCGTGAAACATTGGCATCGTTAATGTGTAGATATACAATAAATGTTTTTAAGTCAATTACATGCCAGTCCAGTTAACACAGAAGTATAATGCAACAAGAGCAAATCAATGTGGCAGATAGAGGGGCTGTGTTTAAACAGATCAATGAGTCTGTGCCACGACATGCAGCCTCGTGCTCTGTGGGTGACAGCTTAGGTAAATTGCACACACGCACGCACGTGCACACAGATCCATATCAGTCATTGTGGGCTTTATTATTTGCTCACAACAGACTCAGGCTCAGGCTGCTGTTTAATACACCTTATTATATTACATTATTGTTTAGTGTACCTGTATATCTTAGATTTTTGTATACTGTTTCTTTTTTATACTTTATATTTTTGTGTTTTGGGGTGTAACTGGGACCTTAAGTACACAATTTCATTCCACCTCTTGTACCTCATGTGATGCCAATGACAATAAAGAACCTCGAGGAAAAGCTATTAAGAAAGACAATTTTTAAAAACAGCTGACTTCAGTTCATATATAACTATGGACGCACGATATTATCGGCATGGTATCGGCCGATATAGAGAACTTGGAGAGGTGGAGGTATGCACTTGAAAGAAGAGGAATGAAAGTCAGCCGTAGAAAGAAGAGGAATGAAAGTCAGCCGTAGTAAGACAGAGTACATGTGTGTGAATGAGAGGGAAGAGGTGGAACAGTGAGGCTACAAGGAACAGAGGTCACAAAGGTGCAGGACTTCAAGGACTTGGGGTCCACTGTCCAGGAAAATGGGGAATGTGGTAAAGAGGTGAAGAAGAGAGTCCAGGCAGGATGGAGAAAAGTTTCAGGAGTGATTTGTGACAAAAGGGTGTCAGCAAAGGTCAAAGGAAAAGTTTACAAGACAGTGGTGAGACCAGCTATGTTGTATGGTCTGAAGACAGAGACATGGACAAAAAGAACTGGAGAAGACTGGAAGTGGCAGAAATGAAGATGCTAAGGTTCTCGTTAGGAGTGACGAGGCTGGATAAGATTAGGAATGAGATCATCAGAGGTACAGCACAGGTTGAACAACTGGGATATAAAGTTAGGGAGGCCAGACTGAGATGGTTTGGACATGTCCAGAGGAGGGACAGTGGGTATACTGGTAGAAGGATGTTAGAAATGCAACTGCCAGGAAAAAGACAAAGAGGAGATATATGGATGCAGTTAGAGAGGACATGGAGGTAGTTGGAGTGAGGACAGAGTGAGATGGAGGAAGATGACTCACTGTGGCGACCCCTGAAGAGGGAAAAGACGAAAGAAGAAGAAGATCGAACGGTATTAGCGTTAAAGTTCAATATTGGACATCGGCCAGTCCCTGCAGCGGCAGTGCAACGCGATGACGTCACGTGCGCCTACCTGATCTCACAGTGGAGAGGAAAATTCAAAATGTCTGCGGAGTGGAAGTTTTTTTTCGATGGTGAGGATGTTGGCTTACTAAGATTTTTGGAGCTATGTTGAGCTTCGCTACATCGTCCCCAGTCAGAGATATTTTTCTGACATAACCTTACCCGAGTTACAAGCCGTCATTTCTGACATCATTGAGAAGCTAATAGCCGATAGCACTTGGGTGAGTTTTACCACAGACATTTGGACGTCGTGTTAGCCCCGTTAGCATGATTAGTCTTACGGAACAATGGATAGACTAAAACTTTGAACTTAAAAAGTGTGTCCTTCATGCACAGGAGTGCAAAGGATCCCACACTGCAGCTATAGGAACCTGGAACAAACCTCCACAAGTGAGACAGCATCGCAGGTGACTAATGCTAATAAATAACATTTAACACTTTTCATTTAATATAAGTTAAAGTGCTCTGCATATCATATGGCTGTTACTGAATATATCACCAGCTCTTACAGCTGTTGCACAATTTTTGTAGCAAATAAGCCTAAATAAGAGGACTATGTTCTGACAAAGGAAAGTATATAAAACATCGGTATCGATATCGGTTACAAGCCAATTAAGTTGTAACATATTGGATATCGGCCAAAAATCCCCTATCATTCACCCCTATATATAACAGTTAGATTATTGATAGTTTCTGTGTATCAAGCAGTTTGTGCTGAGAGGAAGAAGTAATGATCTGACCGTACCTAGATGAAATAGTTAGAACAATTGCTTTAAAATATATATAAACAAATATTTTCATTCCTTTTGTGTTTCATTGTAACAATTTAAAACACTGAATCTTTCACTAAAGTTTATTTCAATTAATGCGTTCACAAAAAATGTTCAGAGTTAAACCTCTTCATTGAAGCTGACTTAAAAATATAACGAGAATAAAACTTCATATAATCTTTCATTAAGAGCTTGTAATAAAATGTCCTTTGTTTTGCTGATGACATTCAGTGATTTATCCTTTAAGCCTGATTACAATCAGTAGTCATTAGTAAACAAGCAGTTTGTTTATTTTGCAATGCAACTACTGAAATAAACTGAAATTGAATAAATTGAAAACTAACTCTAAAGTACTTAATGAAATTTGAAGACTGAATGTGGGACGTCCTCTTGTACACACCTGACGAGTGCAACGAGTCTGAATCACAAACCGTCAGACATGTTAAAAAAAATAGTTTGTCTTGTTTTTTAAAACAAAGTTCAGAACCGCCATCAAACTGTGTTTTTATGGCTGCAGTAAAAGTGAAAACTTTACTAAAATTCACTAATTCCCTCTAAAGTTTGTATTTCATTGGACAGTTGACATCCAGTAGGCCAACAGCGTTCACAGTGGTCTTTAAACCTCAAATCAGTTATGAAGGATCTTAATTTTCTTCCTCAAAGTGGTTGTGTTCACCTTGAACCCGTCTCAGTTCAGTTTCTGGACGTCCTGCAGTGCTAATGCTGTACTTTGACTCCTGCACGGCTGCTTCCTGTTAAAAAAACAAGGCTACAGCTCAAAATGTCCACGTTTACAAACCATGTTGATGAAACATAATCATTTTAAAAAATGGTCTAACCCTGCCAAGGGCGTCAGAAGCATCCGTAATGTGGGGGGGACACAATGATGTGTGTAGAATCAGAATCAGAATAAACTTTATTGGCATTGCACCGAGATACAACGCGAATATGTACGTAAAGTCGTCCGAAGATGGGCGGAGTGCACGAAGCTGCGGCTAAAATAATCAGTGCGGCCTTCTTATGTCTAGGTGTGCGCGTTTAAAAAAAGTGTTCACTAGTGAACAAAAAAGCAGCATTTCTCCTAGATTTCCTTTAATTCCACACATTTAAAAACGTGTTTCTCACCAAGTTTGTATAAATTCAGCTGTGGGTTTTAAAGACATTTCAACTTTAATACACTTTAATACAGAGCGTCAGGTTGGCACTATTTGTCTTTATAGAGAAATAAAAAACATAATCTCTAGACTTTTTACTTGTGTTCAACACTCCTCATCTAAATGATGTTTCTCACGAAGGTTGAGGACAATAAGGTGTGGGGTTTTAAAGACATTTCAACTTTAATACACCTGAACACACCACGTCTCTTACACCTGCAGCGTCTTACAGCGTCACAGTTACTGCTAAGATAAGATGCTACTGACGTAGCGCTCCACTTTCTCAAGCATCCTCCTAACATGCATATATGTTTATGATCAACCCCCCGGTCAACAACTGCCAGCACAAAGCTCGCTAAACTGGTGAACGAGCAACACAGAGGTGTCTCCATCTCCTCCACCTGTGCGCATTTTCTGCCGAGGCAGGAGGAGATGCACAGAAACACAGGTGTTACACCATATTCTGCGACCACCGTATATTGTGACCGTGGCAACAGGCTGCTGTGTTTAGAGTTGGAAGTAACCAGGAAAACCTGGAGTGGAGTTTTAGTGGTTTGAGTATTCTCCTATTAATCAAGTGGAATGGATTTGTTCACGAAGAAAGAGAAACTGCGCCGCCTGAACTGATGTTTTATAGTAAAAGTGGGGGGGGGGGGGTCCAAATTAATGTTTTTTTAATGTGGGGGGGACTTGTCCCCTTCACATATAATGGTTACGACGCCTATGAACCCTGCCTATCTTTATTTCTTAAGTGTACTCCAGTAGATTAAATAATAAATGTAGAGGCAGCTGCCAAAGTTGGTATGAATGAAGCTGAGGTGGGTATGATGTCGGCAGAGGTGGCAACAAAATATTGTGCATGACCAAGAATACTTTTGCAACGTTTCAAAATAAAAATAGGCTGTGGTTTAAAAAAGTTGAGTATGCAAAATGTAGCTGCACAACTCACTGGTGGAAGGGTTGCATACACCAGTGGTGGGATGTAACAAAGTACAAGTACTTTGTTACTGTACTTAAGTACATTTTCATTTATCTTTACTTTACTTAAGTAGAGTTAAATTTAGGTATTTTTGACTTTTACTCCATTACATTTTACACAAAGTACAGTAGTCCCTAGTTTATTGTGGGTGTTTGGGACCACACCCTCCTGCGATAAGTGAAAAACCCTGAAGTGGGGATACAGTAGTACAAGTTCAAGTTCAGTAAACTTTGTCAAGCCATGTGTCAGGCTGCAATCACACTCATCACCTGTTACTCCCAATCTCCCTCCTTAAATAAACAATTTAAATTTAAACACGGTAACATTTTAAATAAACAGTCCATACAGCATGGATGGTTTATTAAAAATGTTACATTATTTAAATGTAAATTGTAGAGAAGTGCAGCAGGACATCAAAAGAATGTTACACAGCTGGTCCAATGAATCACTGCAAAGTGGACAGGTAATGTTAGACCCACCTTCAAGAAGAGCTGGACCATTAATGTATATTCTAGTATATATGTCGCTGGGTGCACCAACAGCACCGCTAACACACCAAAAATGGATTCCACCGCGGAGAGTCAGCCAGAAGCTACATGGCACCCATGTCCTTATTGAAAGACTATTGAAAGATTATTGAAAGGCTGTTCAGTACAGCAGGACGGATTCTCTCTCACAGAAGAACCAGACTGGACTCAAAAATCTTTGAAAACCAACTTTTTCTGAACTTGAACAAGAAATTCTTGCTGCAATATTAAAATGTGTCAGTTCATGGGATGTTAGAGACAAGAAATGTCTCCAAATGTCTCGGCACTCAGGTCCAAGGTTTGAAAATGTTGTCAGGAAGTTAAAATATTGTTCACTATTGACCCATTACAAGGTTGACTAGACAGTATTTTAACTAGAGTTGATGATAAAATGGAGTTGAAATGATCAGAGCCTATTCCTGTGTTTGGTCTAATGCTCCTTTTATCTGACAGACAACTTTTACTTAAATGTGTTTACTGCAGTTAAAATGACACATTGGTTTTGTTTTGTGTTAAATAAAAACTTTCAAAGGTATAATCGTTCCTCTTTCTTATTTTGCTTAATGACATTTAACTCTGAATGTCATCCCTGAAACTCTGACACAGAATCACAAGTCCAAGTGTGAACTGTGTCACAGAGTAAACACAATAAAACATGTATTATCTGCAGCATTGTTCATTAAAATGACTCAACACTATTAATGTATTACAGAAAATATACATACGGTACTAGATCATTGCATTAGGTAATACATTCAGCCATTACTTTTACTTTTAATGCTTTAAGTATTTTTAAATGCATGTACCTACTTACTTTTATGTTAAGTAAAAACGTTAAAGTAGTATTTTTACTTTTACTAGAGTACATTTTGTCTGTTTATTTGTACTTTTACTTAAGTACAGTGTTTGAGCACTTTCTCCACCACTAGCATACACTCAGAATTTACTGAGATTGCAACAGAAAATTTCCTCTCTTCTTTTGCAATTTTGAGTTGCCAACTAGTCTGCAACAGTTGCGTCGTTCCTGCTATACCAGCGAGATGCCTTTCTAATGACGTGCCAGTATTAGAACTGACCCAAGCTAAAGAGCTTTCATTGTGACATGATATTGTGACTGTAGTCCAAACAAAGTAAGGAAACCTGTGAGGGACATAAGTAGCTGCTCACCTTGATTCCGTTGAGGTGGATGGTTTTGTCCATTTCAGTTCCTGCAGGGCTGTTAGCTGTAGTGGTATAAGTGTAAGCCAGCTGAGGGATCAGGATAGTCTGTTTATTGTTGGTGGATAAGGCTCTTAGACATTGCATTGTGGTAACAATGTTGAGAGGTTTGGCACTTGGCTGGCTGGCATACAGTGTGACGGGGCTGCTCCCCATGGCTGACAGTGGTGATGTGTCTTTCTTTGTGCAAGTTAAGTTCAGGGGTTCTTCCTCATTATTAGAGTGAAATGAAGCAGGGGGGTAAATGCAAGCTTTAGGGACCACTTTTTCTGCTTCATCTCTAGCCAGCTTTGGCAGTGACAAGTCCAGGGGTCCCTCAGTGCTCTGGGGTGTATTAGCTTGAATGGGACCCTCAGCTTTAACATTTAATGGAGTAGGGGAGGCAGGAGAGTTGTGACTACCATTGACCTCTGCTGGTGTGGCCTCTGTAGGACTGTCCTGGCTCAAAGATGGGTTTATAGTAGATGTGTCCTTTTCTGGGACAAGAGATACCACAGTGTGAGCTTCACAGGTATCCTCCTCTTCTGAAGGAGGTGTTGGAGCACCCAGGGATATTTGACCTTCCTGCATTTTGTCAAACCACTTTTTTATCACATGAATTGGCAGACTCACTGATTCAGAGATTTTGGCCAGTTCATCCTTGGCGGGTTCTGCATTTAAGGCAAAATAGGCCTTGAGTAGGGGCAAGACATTCTTAGGGTGGTTACAGAGTCCTCCATCTGACAGCAGGGCAGCAACAGCAGACTCAGACTTATCCAAGCCTGCTCCATTTAACCGGACACCAGTGTTTGAGTGCTTGAGGGCATGTAGTGCTTCCAACCCTCTAGGACAGTTATCACACAGGAGACATGTTTTAGTGGTCTTTTCCTCTTTTTCTTTAGTCTCATGAACACTGCTGCTTCTGACAGTTAGATCCTCGGGGTGTTTCTGGAACTTGAACATGTCAGCAGCAGTTTGAGTCGGTGACACTTGCTCTTTCTTCAGATTATGGGCTGAAAATTGGCCCTGGTTAGCATCCAAACTGTAGTTTATAATGATTTTGGCATTTCCATCCTGACCCACGATTGGCAGACTGATGGCTGAGATGAGCTGCTGCTGTGGGTGGTGGAGAGTTCCAGTGGTTAACCCTGAGTTCACCTGACCTTTGTTTTCCAGCACCTGGCGAATGACATTACCATCCACTGCAACTTTCAGAGCATTTTGCAGGTCTGCCAGGTTGATGCTGATGGGTGATACCAGCCCCACTGTGGGCAGGACTACTGCCTGTACTGTACCCTGCAGAGGAGCTGCTGCCCCCCCATTGAACACCCCACCGCTCATAGCCGTCACAGCAGGTGTCATCACTGTTGGCTTGTACTCGTAATCCACAGGTTCTGTCTTGATCTGGATGATGGGCAACTGTTCCTGCAAGAGCTTGCTCTGCTCCAGTTTCTCTCTACTCTGACTGCAGTGGACTAAGGGTGATGTGGGCAGCACTGGCGATGGACCTTGGGACTGGTTTCTGGAGTTCCCCAAGCGTTGTCTGCTGTTAACTGAAATTAGACTGATGCACTTCTTACTGCTGATGTGGGAACTGTACGAGCCTGAGTGGGAGAAGCGCTTTTTGCAATTGGAGCACTCGTAAGGTTTCTCTCCTGAATAAAACCACAGGATGTGTAACAAAGAGAAAGAGAGGGGTGGGAAAAAAACAATTTCCATTAGTGAATAAAGCTAAACGGGCAACCTAGATTCTAAGCAGCATGATAGGAAAAAACTCTAATACATTTCAATGCTGCTGAAATGTTGATGTAATAGCACCATTGGGAAAGGCCCTTCTCTAATTGCTGTTCCATAATGCCAAAAGAAACACAATTATGCACATAAAAATGAGCACACCACGAACTAAAATATAGTATATCTAAATACACACACAATTTTCTTCTACATGTTGTCAAAGGTTGTTTCCTCACCGCTGTGAATGCGCAGGTGCTCTTTTAGATGGTGCTTGTACTTAAATGCTTTGCCACATTCGGTGCACTTGAACTTGCGGTTGGCTGCTGACTGTGTGATGTGCCTCTGTCAGATGAGAGGTCAAAGGGCTGTTAAGTCAGATACAATGAAAAATACAACCTTTGAACTTTCACTATTTTGTCTCATGATGCCATCAATCAATCAAGGGGAATAGTTTATGTTTATCCTCATGTTTGAAAACTGTTAAAGAGACAGCAATAGGATTTTGTGTAGAGTTACATCGTAACAAGTGCATGCTGCTAAAAAAACAATTGGACTGTTTGGAAACTGTTTGAGCATCACATACAAAATTGTTCAAAAGTTTTGAGCAAGTCCTCAGTTTTTATTTCCCACCGCCAATAGTTGAAATGTAGGTAATAATGTTTTGACCAGTGTGTGAGTTTGTGTCTCTGTCTGTTACCAAAGCATCTCACAAACTAATAGAAAAAGTTTGAAGACACATTCAGAAAGCAATCATTACATCTACAACTAATTAGCTTCTGGGTTCAGGACATTACAAGCCACAGCTAACTGAACAATTCAAATAGTGGCAGCAAACTTACAAGACTTGCTTACTCAAACAAAATGTAAAAGAACGGGGTTTAGCTAAATAAATTTACACTGTACTTTACCCAACACATTTAAAATAAGTACCGTATTTTCCAGCCTATAAGTCACACCTTTTTGCATAATTTGCATACCCTGGGACTTATACGCCAAAGCAACTTATTTATTCATTTTTGCCCATATTTATAAACCAATTTTTGACTAATATATGACCGTTTTTATTCATTTTGACTGAAAATATTGAACAATACCATTTTCAGCCACTAGATGGCAGTCGAGAAGTATGTTATGCTGTTATGTCATGTAATAGGTAATAATAATAATCATCATTTTATTTAAAAAGCGCCTTTCAGGACACCCAAGGACACTTTACATTAAGAAACATATCAGAAAGATTGTGTTAAAACAAACAACAAGCACAGTGCAAAGATCAATAGGAATAAATTACATAAAGAATATAAAATACATACTGAATATAAAATACATACAGAATATAAAATACATAAAGAATATAAAATACATACAGCAAAGTTAAGGATAAGCGAGTCTAAAGAGATGTGTTTTCAGAGCAGTCTTGAACAGAGAAAGAGAAGCGGTGTTTCATAAGTCAGGGGGTAGAGAATTCCAGAGATGAGGGGCAGAGCAGGTGAAGGCCCTGCTCCCCATGGTGGAGAGGCGGGCAGAGGGTACATGGAGGTGTAGTGAAGAGGAGGATCTGAGAGAGCGAGAGGGGATGGAGATGTGTAGGAGGTCAGATAGGTACGGAGGGGCAAGGTTGTGGATAGCTTTGAAAGTGAGAAGAAGAATTTTGAAGACGATGCGTGATTTAACCGGGAGCCAGTGGAGCTGCTGCAGGACAGGAGTGATGTGGTTATAGGAGGAGGTTTGAGTGATGACACGGGCAGTTGAGTTCTGGACCAATTGCAGCTTCTGGAGAGATTTGTTGGGGAGGCCATAAAGAAGGGAGTTGCAGTAGTCAATCCGAGAAGTCACAAGACTGTGCACAAGGATAGCTGTGGAGCGGGGTGTGAGAGAAGGGCAGAGAAGGTTAATATTTTGGAGATGGAAATAGTTAGACCAAGTAACATTGTTGATGTGTGAAGTGAAGGAGAGAGTGGTGTTGAGGACGACACCAAGACTCTTGACCTGAGGTGAGGGGGACAGCAGAGAGTTGTTAAGGGGGATGAGATGTTCTGATTTTGAAATAGAGTTTTTGGTACCGACAAGAATGATTTCTGTTTTGTCACTGTTTGGTTGTAGGAAATTGTTAGAAAACCAGTGATTTAGCTCATTGAGACAGTCGGTGAGGATGGAGGGTGGGTGAGTGGAGTTTGGTTTTGTTGACAAGTAGAGCTGTGTGTCATCAGCATAACAGTGAAAATGGACACCAAATTTACGGAAGATGTGACCTAGAGGAAGGAGGTAAATGATGAAGAGGAGGGGACCGAGGACAGAGCCTTGGGGGACACCCGTGGAGACGGGGGAAGACTGGGAACGATAGGTTTAAGCTGAATGAATTGAGTGCGTTCAGAGAGATATGATTTGAACCAGTCTAACGGAGTACCTGAGATGCCAATGGAGGTTAGTCTGTTGAGCAGGATAGAATGACAGATTGTGTCGAAGGCAGAACTTAGATCAAGTAGAATGAGGATAGACAGAAGAGCAGAGTCAGCAGCAAGAAGAAGGCCATTAGTAATTTTTAAGCTAAAATTAAATTAAATTAAATTAGTTTTATTTAAGGTAAAAGTGGTTATTAATGACACAATCGGCTTGCCATAGCCTGACACCTTCATCCAGCTCGCCTGGAGCAACCATCAAATTAGCTTCATTTTGTTGCGCTGCCCCGGCGAAATGCAGCTGATTAGACCATTGAAGTGCATTTATTAAGGAAAAGTTCAACTGAGACACACCTTTACTATAATGCGAGTAAACACATGTTTGTTTTTAGGTGGTTATCTTCTTAAATTTCAAAGAGATGCACAGCGTCCCTCTGCACGGTCCCGCTTCTGCAAATCAGCTTTTGAAATGCAACTGATTTGACCATCAAAGTGCATTTATTAAGGAAAAGTTAGAATGAGGCACACTGCTATAATTTCGAGCAAACAAATAATTGTTTTTAAGTGTTAATCTTGTTAAATTCTTGGCTCCCACGGCCACCATTTGGCAGCCAATCGATTTTTGGCACAACACCGGCCCACATTTCCGGGTTGTCAGCGTGTAACAAACGCAATGCGTCAGCAGTGATGTATAATAGGTGCAACTTATACGGCCAAGAGACTTATACATTTTGCCAAATTGTTTGACATTTTTGGACAGATGCAACTTATACTCCAGTGCGACTTATAGGCTGGAATATACAGTACATGTACTGTAAACTAAAGCAGCAGTGCCCAGTGGTGACAGGCAGGTCAGATGTTTTTTTTACCTGATCTCGTCCACTCTTGTGAATGAGCATATGTCGCTCCAGTTGTGTGCGGTATGTAAAGCTGTAGCTGCACTCTGAGCAGCTGAAGCTCTCTTCTGTCTTCTCGTGTCTGTACTTGATGTGCTCCTTCAGGGAGCTATAACGCTTGTAGCCCCGTGAACAGTAAGGGCAGGTGAGCAGCTGGGAAAATGAATCAGGGGTTCCTGGAAAAGGGAAGAGAAAGAAATGGGGTTAAATCCCAGGTCCGGGGGCTTCTTTGACGTTGTGCATCAACAATTACAGAGATCCTGTTCCACAGGTAAACAACTTCCAGGTGAACTGGATATACATTTCACCGTCATTAAAAAACACAAAAAATGGCCATAACTTATTCAATTATATACATTTTCAACTAAAATTTGATCTGGTCACAGCTGCAACTAATTTCCAAAATATATTCTATGTGATAAAAGATTGTGCAAGATCTTTGTTTAAAATTTTGTCATTAACCGTTTGAAGACAACTGTGTTCCTTTGATATTCAAAATATTTCATGAACCACTGGGTGGAATTTAAAGAATTGTTTAGAATTTGTTCATTGGGTGTGCATCTACAACTGATTACATTTTGTAGCCAGCCCAGTTCAAGATGGTTGCCACAGCCAAATGATCATAGAAAACACAAAAATGACTTTAATTTGGATATGGTTGCAGATTAAAGTCATTCACAACACATACTCCAAATACTTATCATTCAATTTCAATTCAGTTTAATTATATACTGTAGCACCAAATAACAAAATTGTCTCAGGGCACTGTACAGAAACATTCACATACATAGAAAAAGCCAATTAATAAAGTTCTCTAAGTTCTCTATCTCATTGTGTGAGATCTATACTTAAATGTTTAACTGTAACTATTAGAGTCAACCTACTTTGTCTGTTAGCAAAATATCTCATGAACCAATGGATAAATTTTAATGAAACTTTCAAAAAGTGCGCATTGGATGTTAGTCTAGAAATGCTTACTCACCTCTCCATCCAGTTTAAGATGGCCACAATTATGTTGGATAACTAATTTGAGCCATCACGAACAATACTATATTTCAGGTAGTCCTGATGCTGCTCAATAATCCAGGTAGATAAATCTAACAAGGTTGAGTCAGGTTCTCTGGAAGGATTCTTCTTTATTGAAATGTTTCGTCTTTTATCCCAAATACTTCTTCAGAAGACTTGACTTAACCCTGTTAGATGTCTTTCAGGCAGTTTCACAGACATTGAGCTGGTGAGTTGGTGTGGTGTTGCTGTGGTCTGCTGCCATCTTTACTTGCTCTACTCAACATGTTTGTATTTGTAATTATTTCTATCCTGAACATGTTTTAGTTTTTCTTTCCTCCAATAGAAAGTACATCTGGATCTGCCATTCTGTGTTTGTCTCTCCTTCCTGTCCTCTCAAACCAGCCGGTCAAAGCAGACGGCCGCTTGTCCTGAGCCCGGTTCTGCTGGAGGTTTCTTCCTGTTAAAAAGGAGTTTTTTCTTTCCACTGTCCTCTTTGTGCTTGCTCAGGATGGGAGACTGCGATGAAGTGAAGATTCAACACATCTGCTGCTTCCTTAGATACATAACTTTACTAATTGACTTTTTTTATGTATGTGAATGTTTCTGCACGGTTCCCTGAAACGACTTCTGTTGTAACTTGGAACTGAAATGAATTGTGGTAGTAACTGAAAATCTGAGAGTGACATCAGTCCATATCCATCCATCCATCCATTATCTTTACCCGTTTATTCCATTTTGGGTCACGGGGGTCGCTGGTGCCCATGTCCAGCAATCACTGTGCGAGGGGCGGGGTACACCCTGGACAGGTCGCAAGTCCATCACAGGGCCACATAGAGACAAACGAGGCAAACAACCACTCACTCTCTCATTCACACCTAGGGACAATTTAGAGTTACCAATCAGCCTAACATGCATGTTTTTGGTCTGTGGGAGGAAACCGGAGTACCCGGAGAAAACCCACGCATGCACGGAGAGAACATGCAAACTCCACCCAGAAGGCACCTGGACCGGGGTTTGAACCAGGGACCTGTTCGCTGAGAGGCAGCAGCTCTACCAGTTGCGCCACCATGCTGCCCATCAGTCCATATCAAATTTTCAATTTTAAACCAAAGCAGCTACTACTCCATGATTTCTTAACATGAGATGGTCTTTGTATAAAACTCTAGCATAAAATGTCTCCGGGGTACATTTTATTTTTGTTTTAGCCCTTCTTGGTGACACAAAGACAAATAGTTTCCAGAGACTTAAAATTCATAATTCAATGCCTGTTGTGTTTGAAGAGTGAAGCAATAAATAAATAAAAATCCACCTATACAAGAAAACATAAATTTGGTAAATACAAGCTACCTACATCTGAGTAAGTTAAGGGAGTCACAGTTGTCTGGCTCCCACACAGGTAAAGTATTACCTTATTAACAGGTGATGTATTAAGTTGCCTGGGGGCCAGGTGAGGGCCTTGGGTGGGAAATGTATACACATTATCAGCCAGGTAGCTGTGAGCCTGAGCTCTCAAAGATGCAACACATTTATGGAGGTGTTGCTGTTTCTCTGTTTTGACACCCACCCTCTGCTTCCTTTCCTCCCCCCTCAGTGGAAGCAGGTGAAAGCCAAAATCTCAGGAGTTGTAAAGGCCCTTGTGTGCTGCACTTAACGAATAATGGCAAGTGTAATAATCTCAGAGAGTGGCGCTAATGGGGAAGTTAACATCTAAGGTGAAACAGGGAGCAGGTAGCGCACACCACCCGGGGCTGAGTAATTACTGGGTAGGTGTAATAGTGTGAGAGCTCAGTGACTGTGAAGCCTCGAGAGAAAACACTTAAGTGTGATCTGAGAACACTGTCTACACTGCAACGTCCTGTACCATTCTCATTGTGGACACTGGTGTCGGGGGTGTCTTGATGCTGAAGATAATCATCTGGAGCCTCAGGATAGATGACGGCCGTGTCTCCTTTTTGGAGCATTTCTTCTACCAGGGCATCTGTACTCAAGTCATCGTCTCCATCTGACGCGTATTCCCCCTTCACTGGAAAAAGGATAAACACACACTTGTTACACAAGAACCCTGCAGAAAGGTCTTATTGATTAACCTGCTGTTTTAACTTGTTTCTTCCATTGATACAAGCTGTACCTATGAGACCTTAACCTTTGTGATAACCCAATATCGTCACATTGAAATGTTTAAATAGCTTATACAGTCAAAGCTCTTGATCTTTACATGTTCAGCAGCCTGGAAAGAGACATGCAGTGTCAAGGGGAAAAACACATCCTGATGTTCACAAAAGGATGTGAAAACTCATTAGCATCAAAGACCAGAGGCAACTGTATGAGTAAAGCACTCTTTGTAAGAAGTGAGCCTTTAATAGCAATGTTAGGGAAGGTAGATGTTGGGACTGGGGTTGATAATTACTGTAGGTGATGAAGCATGTTCCCTTGTATCGCAGCAGATAGATACTAAACAGGAACTGAAGCACACATATGCATTCAATTTTTTTCTAGAAAGTCATGACCTTCAGATTAGGTTAGCAATGAGGAGCTACAAGTGAGAGCCAAGTAAGTTCTTCCCTCAAGCTGGACTTGCAAGTTGAAAGGGTACTAATAACCAAACTGAACCCTACAGAGCTCATACAGTGACGGTGTCAAGAATGTTTTTCTGTCTGACATGATGGGAATTAAAGAATGCTGTGTACAGCCAAGTGTGATCAGCAAAGCTATGTTGTAGTGTAAGTAGCAATGCAATGAACTGGGACTGTTGGAGACTATACATAACAGTTTCACGAGCATCAAATCAATCTAGGTGATATAGGGCACTTAACATTTTCACATAATAGGTACATTGCCAGTTTGTATTTAAGCTACTGTAAGGCTTTTATTATGTTGAAAACATGTTGGAAAGACTATCAGACCACCGTTAAATTAAAGAAAAACAAATGTTTCTTCCAAATTATTGCCTCAAAAAGTCATAATCCCTGTGTTCTTTTTAACAACATAAACTCAGCTTTAAATGTGCCTCAGTCTGCCAACATGGAGGCCGCTGTAGACAATTGTAGTGAATTTATCAGATATTTTGTTCAAAAGGTTGAGTTGACTAGGTCACCGATTTCTCACGCCACGGCTGACCCCTCTGTCTTTGTCCTTTGCTCAGCGGCCTTCAATCAGTTTGTGAAGCTCGGTCATCCGGGAGGGACTCAGAGTAGAGCCGCTGCTTCTCTACATAGAGAGGAGCCAGTTGAGGTGGTTTGGGCATCTGGTTAGGATGCCTCCTGGACGCCTCCCTGGTGAGGTGTTCCAGACACGTCCCATCGGGAGGAGACCCAGAGGAAGACCCAGGACATGCTGTAGGGACTGTTTCTTGGCTGGCCTGGGAACGCCTCAGGATTTCCTGGCCCAAGTGGCTGGGGAGCGGGAAATCTGGGCCTCCCTACTTAAGCTGCTACCCCACGACCCAACCCTGGATAAGCAGAAGAAAATGTATGGATGAATGGACTACAAGTGTAGTCCCTGATGTTTTTAAACACGCAGCAGTAATTAAAAAACCTGAACTTGACCTTTCAGCTTTTTCAAATTTCAGACCAATCTCAAAAAATGTCTCTTTCTTTCTAAAATCTTGGAAAAAATTGTTTTTATTCAATTAAATGAATTTTAGAATGAGAATGGAACTTTTGAGATCTGTCAGTCTGGTTGTAAATAATTACACAGCACTGAAACATTTTTACTAGGGCTCGATTCTTGGACCCCTTCTGTTTTTACTGTATCCTTTCCCTTTGAGGTCTATCCTGAGGAAACATGGTCATCTTATCATTTTATCATGTTATGATGTCTCAGGTAGAAACTGAGGACTCAGGATACAGATCCAAATTAAAACTTAAAGCATATTTATTCAAAAGATTTTTCAAAGGAACATAATGGAGAGTAGTGGCCCAAACACAGGTAACAACTGGAAAAATGAATAGTGTTCAAACAACGTTCAATACCTAATGATCCCACAAGTTACAGAGAACTGAAAGGCTTCTTAAAGGCTGGAGCCTAGGGTAATTCACAGAACAGAAAACACCTGAGAGCAATAATTAACTGACAGACACACGAGCTGGAACAGAAGGAAAACAAACTGAAATGAACACCAAAACCCTGAAATGACTACAAAGGTGAGTGCAGGAAAACACATATCACAAAACACACTGAGGCCCAAGCTCAAGCTTTGAGAAACAATGTCCAATGGATAGTCGTTTTTTTGTGCTTTCTGCACTCCAGAGGTGCTATGATTAATTCCGATCTAATCTGTAAGTCTTACGTTAACCATTTAATGTGTAGTCACATACTAGTTTTTGAGATTGTCTTCTAATCCCTGCTATCCATTTGGACCTCCAATCTGTGATTGTTTTTGAAGCAATGAAATGGTAATCTGGGCAGCACGGTGGCACAACTGATAGAGCTGCTGCCTCTAAGCGAGCAGGTCCCTGGTTCAAAATCCCAGTCCGGGGGCCTTTCTGGGTGGAGTTTGCATGTTTGCATTACTGCATGCGTGGGTTTTCTCTGGATACTCCGGTTTCCTCCCACAGACTAAAAACATGCATGTTAGACTGACCGGTAACTCTAAATTGTCTCTAGGTGTGAGTGAGAGAGTGAATGGTTGTTTGTCTCGTTTGTCTTTCTGTGTCCCTGTGATGGATTGGAGACCCATCCAGGGTGTACCCCGCCCCTTGCACAGTGACTGCTGGACATGGGCACCAGCGACCCCCGTGACCCAAAATGGAACAAGCAGGTAAAAATAATGGATGGATGGATAACCTGAGTTTGTCTCCCCCAGTGGTTTGTACAGCCAACTGCAGAGCACAATGAGACTAGTTTGCTGACTTTAGAGAGGTTTTCCATTTTTACCAGAAATCACATAATAAACTAACAGCTTACCACTCGACATAAGGAACAGAACATGTGAGTCTTGAATGCAAGTGTAATGGGCTTTGTAGGAAGTATAACTTGAGGATGTAATTTAGAAAATTTCCTTCGTCCATCATTCCATCCAACCATCCATCCATCCATCCAACCATCCATCCACCCACTCACCCTGCCTGCTAGCCTGCCTCCTTAAAGTGGATGGAAGAATCAGGTATGGCTTGTCAGCAAGCAATCAGACCATCATTTCACCACAGACATTTTAGTATGCCTCTGTGTGTCATTTCAGAAAATCATTTCAGAGGTGTGATATCTGCTAAAAAGCAAAGAAGGCTTGTTGTTGATACTGTGGCAGTGTTTACTGGGCAGATGTTTCATGAACTGACTATTGCTCTCCCCCCGGTTAGTGGACATTCGAGAATTGTATTTTGTGAATTGTATGCGTTAAAAGACAGGGCCAGCTGTGAGCTCCTTTGAGACAGGAACAGGTGTTGAGCTTCATGATTCACCGACGCAAAGTGAGAATCAGTACTCTTCCACAGGAGCCTTGCTCTGGCTTCCTCTGGTGCACCTTAACAAAGCTGCAACACAATACAACTGAATCCATTTGTTGCTATAGTTATAGTAGACGGCTGGGGAAAAGAAAAAAAAAACCTCATGTCCTGTTCAAGGATGGAAATTTCACCTTCCAACATTTTTCAGTCAGGTCATCTGGACAGTTTCTTTTTTTTTTGTGCTGAAACGTTTTGCCTTCGATCCGGAAGGCTTCATCAGTCAAGGAAACACACAACAAAACTGATTCTTCCCCCAACAGCTTACTCCAAAGTGGAACAAACCAGTTTTGTTTGTGATAAGATGGTCTCTTTTAGCTTTCCGGATCGAAGGCGAAACGTTTCAGCACAAAAAAAAAGAAGCTGTCCCGATGACCTGACTGAAAAATGTTGGATTGTATACCTGGATTATTGAGCATGGACTTTGTTGTTTTCAACCAGTTTGACATGACTGTCAACAAGGAAGAGGGCCGGCAATGGAGGAGGGGCCGTACCAAAGAGACCAATACGAATACGCTCACTTTGCAGGTGAATAATGCTGAAAACTGTCAATGTACATGAAATGTGTGCAGTTTAAAGATGGTTTTGAATCACGGTGAAGATAATTTAATTTGGTTTAAATTACTTTTTCTAGTCATTAAATAACTGTCAATGAGCCCTTTAACAAGATTTTTAAGCTCTAAACGTAATACACATGTTCAATAAATAAATCTACTAAATAAAACAAAAATATTCTTCAGACACATTGATTTATTGTGATGTATCAATATAAATTGTGAGCTACTCAAATAATCAAACATGATCTAGTGTTCCTACTGATAAGAGATCGCTTTAGACATTGAAATGTTACTGTTGTTGTCTACAAAAAGCCTAAATATATGATATTCTATGAGTTTAATAAAAAAAAAATTCATGTTTTCACTGAGGCTCAAACCCTGATCCCCCTCATAAAAGGTAAAATTGCAAATCATTGTGCTACAGAAATCCCAGTATGCTGCTTGCACTCAGACTTCAGGTGCACACTCCTCATTTCAGGGATCCACGTGTCAAACTCTAGGCCCGAGGGCCAAACTTGGCTGTTTTTCACCCTATATGTCGGAGTTTCTTGCATAATTTGCATGCTCTGCGACTTATAGACCGATGCAACATATTTATGGATTTTTTTTCCCATATTTATAAACAAATTTTTGCCTGAGATATGACCATTTTCATTCATTCTGACTGAAAAAATGGAACACTACCATTTTTGATAAAATTTAAATAATTTAAATATTATTAAAATATAATTTAAATATTAGTTTAAATTAATTTAAATTTAAATAATTTAAATACAATTTTTTTGAGATTTTGCTTTTGGAAACTTTAATTCCTCTTTTTCTGGATGTAAATCTCATTTTTTTGGATCATTGTTTCCTCTGGTATCAGATGCTGTGCAGCTGGAAGGATTTTTACTGAAACTTTTTTTAGTTTTGGACATTTGTTATGATGCGTAACCATGGCAACAAGGCAGTTTTCTACAACCAACAGCAGCTGATTAATGTCTCAAACGCTCAAATAATATCTCAACTACAGCCCCAAAT